CTCTGCAAAGGAGCTGCTGCAGGTAAAACGGCTGCGAGTGACGACACTGTTGTATGTCACGGCGCTCTCAGTGGTTAAACGTGCAGGCGACGGATTCATCCCCTTATATTAGTCTCCAGTCTTGGTGCTTTTCAAACTAAATATAAGAATTTTGGTTTTTACTCAGTTTTACTTGGTGGCAAAATAGCTGAACTGGAGTGGCAGCAGGTGCAGAGGCCTGACATGGGGTTGGTCACTTCTGTACACAGAGATTATAAGCGGGAGGAACCCAATGAAATGGGCCAGCGCAACGGAGACGAGTTTGGGCTGTGGGGAGAAGCCGTTTGGGGAGGCTACAAGCATCGAGGGACTGGAAGAGGGGTCGCCCCAGCTCGCCCGTCCTGCCCCACTCCGAAGTTTCTGCCACCGAAACCGGGGCAGGCGAGTGGGACTAGCAGCGGCTCCGTTTGCTGCCTGGCACGGCGGAGCAAAGGAGAACCCGTACTGGCTTATTGCCAGGTTTAGTGGCAGGCGCAAACTGCGGTAGCTGGGGAGTTGCGGCACATGCCACCGGCTCGCCCTGCTGCGAAGGTGTCACCCTGCACAAGACGGGCAGGGGACAGCGAGAAACAGCTCTTGCTGACACCCGGAGCCGTGGCTGTCGGCGCTCAGTCGCCCATCTCCCTCCTGCTGTCCTGGTGCCCAAAAAACCTGCACCTCGGTAGCCTCCAAAACAGCATGTGGGCCCAGATACTATGGGGCTAAACTCTTCCTAGAGGTATTGGAGGTGCCCCAGGAACGGCTTATGCCTTTGGTCGTCTTTGACAGCTAAAATAGGCTGCGTCTTTGGAAGACTGGAACGTACATAAGTATTTGACGTTTGCATGTATATAAGTTTCCTGAAAGGAGTAAGGCTCTGGGACAGCAAGCAGCTTTCCAAGAGAGCAGGCAGGGCAAAAATCCCAGCAAGCTGAAGGCACCTTGATAAATGGATTAATAGGATTATGGGCTATGTTTGCCTGCAGCAAGGGACTGGACGTGAAGATCCAGATGGTCCCCTCAGTCCTATTTCTGCATATTCCTAGTAACCAGAAGAATAATGCTTGCGCCTGTGAGTAAGCGATTCTGGAAAGTAATGATTTCTTTCTTTCCTTTGGGTAGCATCCATTTTTAAAACTAGCCAAGCCTCTCTCCAGCCTGACTCCTCTGATCATTGCAGCAAAGGAAGCGATTAAGAACAGCAGCCGCTAGCACGCCAGGCTGGCCTTCTCCCACGCCAGCTCCCTCCGGAGCAGGACTGAGCAAAAACTCTGTAAAACCTCAACTCTTGTGCTGCAGGACAGATGGATGGATGGACAGACAAACGGTCACAGTCATGGTGGTAGCAGGGAGGAGGGGAGAACAACTGTTCTCCGGTCCCTCGAGGAACAGAAACTTATCACCTGTCTTCTTCCTGCTTTCTGGCTCCTTAATTTATTTCTAAGATGAAACAGGGCTTAAGGCAGAGAGGTAATGACAGAAAATGCTTTGCTGTCTCAGCCATTTCCAAGGTAAAGCCAATTCAGTTGGAAGAGTCCCTTCCGTCTCACTCTGTGAATAAGCTGTACATTCACTTTTAAATTGTCAGTTGTTTCTTAAAGATGCAAAGTCCCTTTTCTGGGTTTTTTTGGTATGGTTTGGAATTGGAGAAGGGTCCTCCTTCATTCATAAACTCCAGACTGCGTCGCCTTTTGAATACAGCCCCGCTGGCTGGTATTTGCTCATTTGCGGTACGTCTACGTCTAGCTGAGGAAGAAAGTGAAATTGCATTTCCAACCAAAAATGAATCAAGAGTGGAGCAGACAAAACGTCCTGTTGCAATACAGGCTTTCAACTGTGAATATATAGTGTTTCGGTTCTTGACAGTTTGATTTGTATAACTAATTGTAATATGTTTGCCTGGGTGAGAGTCTTATTAAAACAAACAAACAAAAAAAAAAGCAAAAAGATCAGCCAGTGTGCTCAGAAAGGGCTCGTCCGATGTGGAGCTGTACGAGCGCTGTTAGGTGGCCGCGGGCCCGGTCTGGCCAGGGGCCGAGTGCCGGCAGCGGCCCTGCAGAGCACCCCGCAGCCTCCTGGCCTTGGGCGCCGTGTCCGTAGCCGCGAGCCGAAGCAGACTG